TTTATTGTTTGGTTTTTTAAAAATTATCTTTATTGTTGAAATTATTTCAGATACCCCCCTTTTCTCCCATTGACCACCCCTTCAGACCTTCCCCACACTATTGTCTGTGTCCATGGGTTATATGCATATATGCATTTAAATTCTTTGGTTAATCTCTTCCCGCCCCCTCCCAAACTTTGAATTACTATTTTATTTGTTATTATCATTCTGTCATTTAGCATTTATACTGTAAATATTACAGAATTGGTTAATTTAATTATCAGAAAATGCTGTAAATATGCTATTTTCATCCTTATCATACAAAATCATTAAGACATTGAAAGTCTTAGCAATTTGTTTAAGTTCACATAAGGAGATGGTCTGATATTTGAACCTGGGGCTGAGTTACACTTAGCATTAAATTTACTTTAAGACAAGATATGAAATGGGTGAAATTTGTCTCCGAAGCCTACCCCTGTATCCTGCCAACAATTATGCTAATAACTTTAAAGGTATTAGCTGATAGGTGCTTAAAACATGGCTTCATCCAGGGACGTTATCATTTTAACATTTTAAAAGGGAATAATTAAAAACCCCATCCTTTAGTTTTTTGACTCTTCATGCTACACAGCTTGACAACAGGAATGAAACATACAGCCTAAAATCAGACTATGTTTTCCTTGTTCACTTGCCTTCTACCCCTTTCCCTTTCTCCTCACATGCAGTGATAAACAAAACGAATCTTACTGTAACACTTTGGTATTTCAAAACCTTGTTTAAGATGTGTTTTTCCTATAATTAAGTTTTAAAAACACTAACACCATGCTGAATGTGATTGGAATACCCCATTCATTCCTATGTATTTCTATGTATCATTCATTCTGCAAAGGCTGGAAACAAAAAACTACATTTCCTAGACTCCCTTGCAGCTAGGATACTAACTATGTATTAGCTCCCTTCACCTAGATTCACTCATAGGGGATTGAGTGTCCAAGTGCTGTTTCTGCTGGCCCACAGAGGTTGTGAGGCCAAGAGAGTGTCTAGAAAAAGTGGTGACAATCAAAATCAGGGTTTCAGAATGAAGTAACCAACTTGTGGGTATTCAGAGGCAGTTGTCTAAAGGCAGACTCCTAATCCTTGGATCACATCTGTGGTATCATGTTCTTAAACCCAAGTGTATCGGTGATGGCCCTGATTCCTATCCCTCCAGGGCTTCCAATATTTCATAACACCTAAGATCCTGATCTATACCTTTTCTTTCTTAAAATAACTAGAATGATTTGTGTTTCCTACCACAAACACTGACTCATACAAACATAAATTATACATACTCCATGAAGTTTGGGGGGTAAATCTTACACCAGTGAATTATTTATTTGAAATAACTGCAACTACCTAGTTATAAATTATTTGTATTGCCAAAGATGGTATTAAATGGCGTCTTCTTTAAATCATGATCTAAAAACTGCGTTGCCATCTAGCTTTCAACAGTAAAGCTCGCTCTGAAAAGCAGTTACTCTGGGGTTTTCACCCTCATTCTCTCTTGACATAATTATTTTGCCAACATTTAAACAGAGGTGAGTGAGGAAGCAGGCTTACGAGACAAAGAACAGAGGCGAAGTGATTGGCTGGAAGCCTACAGCTGGTTTCTAACCTCTTCTTTGACCCCAGAACAGTCAGGTCCTAATTCTGGTTTTGTATCTTCAAAATGAGGACACTGACAATCTCTGAGCGTGAGGCACAGGGTCCTCCGTGAACCTGCCAGCACGGTCGCTGGCGAGGCTGGTGTGTCAGTGCTGAACACCTTTGAGGACTTGCACTGATTGACTTTCCGTCAGTTTCATGAGCCTTACACATACTGGGGCAAAATACTGTTTCTGTCTGACCTTCTCACACACTGGATG